GATTAGGTGTGGTGAGTCCAGACTCCAGGTCAATCCAATGCAGATCTGTCACATTCTAGTCGTCTTGGTCAGATGGTGGGGAAGTAGTTTTGGACTTGCCTAGTTCAATTGACATTTCCTCAGGGCCTCCACTATACTGTTTTGCTCAAAGAAGCAGAGCGGGGTGCTTATTAGAAGACTTAAGGCCGGCGCACACTAGAGCTATGTGCTTAGCAAAATGTCATTCGTGACTGTTGGCGTAAGGAGATAGCTCTCGTGTGCGGGCGATTTACGAACGACTTTTGTCATTCGTGCCACTTACGCCAAATATCTAGCATGTTTGATAATTTCTGCCTCGCGTGCCAAAATCTTTCCGTGTGCGGCGAACGAAAGCTATCTGCTTACGGATTGTCGTAACAGCGCATGCGTAGTATACGAAAGTAAACATCCAAGATGGCGGCGCAAAATAAATTGCTGGCTGAGGCAATTTTAGAAGACAAACTTGTCGTTATAATGCTGTTCCAATAACTTGTCTACAAGATATATTCTCAACTGGCTTGTAGCAAGCTTGTTAACAAGTTGTGTCAATGCTGTTCCAAAAGCAAGCTTGTAGCTTTCGTTCGCCGCACACGGAAAGATTTTGGCACGCGAGGCAGAAATTATCAAACATGTTAGATATTTGGCGTAAGTGGCACGAATGACAAAAGTCGTTCGTAAATCGCCCGCACACGAGAGCTATCTCCTTACGCCAACAGTCACGAATGACATTTTGCTAAGCACATAGCTCTAGTGTGCGCCGGTCTTTAGACTACTGATAGGTAGTTTCTCAATGGGCAGATTCATATCCCAGTAAAATAGTTAAGTAGTGTAAGGGTGCCCCGGATAGAGCACTTTGCTATCCACTTATCTAGCCAGATACGGATATGCCAGATAGTTGAAAAATATTAGAATGTTAGGGTTTGTAATCCAAGTGATTATATACATTTATAATGTATATAATCTATGTATATAATCAAATGTATATAATCACTTGGATTACAAACCCTAACATTCTAATATTAATTCCACCAAGTGAAGTGCAAGAAACCACATCATTCAAGTCCACCTTATCACAACCCGTACACCCGATTACCTATATATACATGAACTTACGGTTACAGCTCAACAGCTGGCCTCTGTAGCTCAGTTGGTTAGAGCGCTGCACCGGAATCGCAGGGCCGTAGGTTCAATTCCTACCAGAGGACCTTGTGCTGCATTTTTCGCAGTCGTTCCTGGTCAGGTCTTAAAATGTATATAATCACTTGGGATTACAAACCCTAACATTCTAATATTAATTCCACCAAGTGAAGTGCAAGAAACCACAGTTGAAAAATATCCTGCCGACTTGGAGTGAGTTGAAGGATTTTATTGTATAGCTCTCACTCTTATAAAAATCCAGATTAGTGAAACAAATATGGCTGCATAAACAACATAAATTGTTGTTTATTGTGCCCACCCGCTCAAAAAAACCCAGTGATTTATATTTTTTTGAAAGCTGTAAGTGATCCTTGTGTTGTTATCTGGCTGGACAGCCAGATATTGGTTCCTGAACCTTGAATAAAAAAAATATTTGAATAAAAAAGATATTTTATATATCCGGCAGGATAGCAGATAACAAGATTATCTCACTATCCGGTCCAGATATCTGGTGAACGCATAAAGTGTTGTCCAAGTACCACGCACCATACAGTAAGTATTTGGAATCCACTTATTATCCGGAATCTGAATATTATTCTGGTACACTATATACTTTCTGGTCAGACTGCAGAGTTGGGAACTTTTCAACAAGATCTTGAGTGCTTATGCCAGAGTTAAGTGTGCAAATAAACAGTTCCCTTAAAAATAATGGAAATTAGAGATTTGTAGGGGTTATAAGGTGTTATAAGGCACACCCTAGTTGTGTCAAAATTTCTGCCTTGTAAAAGTTGAGTCACATAAGGCAACAAGTTGCAAGGGCTGGTCGTAGGGACTTGTTGGAGGGACAAATTTCATTGTGTGACATATGTAAAAATCTTGTCACAGGAATTGACTTTTGTCCCCACGACAGGTCGCATTAAATCAAATTGATTTGATTTCATGGGACTTGTCATGGGGACAGAAATCAGTCCGGCTATCCGGTACCATCCAGTATCTGGCTAAGCAGTATCTGGCACAAGTCATTAACATACCAGTATAAAAAGCTTTTAGACACATTGCCTTTGGATTTGCCAATGGTGGTATTGGGTATTTAATTTTCAAGAAAACATGAGTCCTATCATGATGGTCTCCTGGTTCACAGACCTCACACACATCATAATCAAGACAATTAGTGCATTTATAACGAGTTCCGCAAACTGGACTTGCATTGCACATATTACATGTAATCCCACGATGGATGAAACAATCCCTGTGTGCCTGATCTTTCGCAATTTGGAAAAGCATGTTCACGAGTCCATTATTTTTCTCATCTCTGTCAACGTCCGGGGGGGAAACCAGCATTCCTTCAGATGTGCTATATCCCATGTCATCATTAGTAATAGTTGGTGGCAGTCCCTCCAAGGGATTTCCAGGGGTTTCTCTTCCATTTTGAGAGAAATCTGTAACATTTTCGATCACTCTAGTACCGTTATTTCGTACAGCAAGTGCGTAGAAACCTGATACGATTTCCGTGCCCCTTGATGCCAAAACAATCGCCCCTGCTCCAGCTACAACACCGAAAGCAAACTGAGCGAAGGAATTGGAATACCAATGACCCATATTTTCATTAAAAGTACTCCATTCACGAAAAATATTTGAAAAGAAAGCCAGCTTTTTTTCGTTTTTGCTTCCTGGCAACTTGGCAGTGTTTTTCAAACATGGCGCCCTCTTAGTGTGGGTCTTTTTATCCCCGTTTATCCCGCGTGAATTTTAAAAAATGTACCTTTTTATCCCCGTTTATCCAGCGTCAATTTTTAAAAAATGTACCTTTTTATCCCCGTTTATTCCCACGTGAATTTTAGATAATGGCGTCCGAAGGAGAAGGAAGTCATAATGGCAGTGCGAGAAATGAGAGTAGAACTACATTGTTTAGACAAGCTAAACTGTATAACTTTCGAAAGAGTCTTTTTAATTCGCCCTTTTCAGCTCCAACAACAGACACTGAATCAGGTAGAGAGCATTATAATTAATTTAATTTGTATATTTTGTATGTATAGTATAAATTTCTATAGACAGCTATAAAAGTCACAGGACTCACAGCTTTATGTCATTTTGTATGCATTAATTGTACATTTACAGTTGTACAGGAATTATTGTAGTTCCCCAACTGTGAGATTTACTGCGCAAATTTGTATTTGTAAATAGGCTAAAATAGCTAATTATAGTCTGTGCCTGGCAAGCCTGCAAATGCAGTAATATTTGCAGGCTATAATTGGAAAATTAAACAAGACTTACCTGTAAGTTGAAGTTTGATTGGAATTCTATCACATGGCACATAGAGTCAGGAGATTACATGAGATAGCACGGCGCATGCGCGGGTTCATTCTTTAAAGCATTTTGCTGGGTTCATCAGTACAAATACACACAGTGATATTGATATTTCCAATACACCCAGTGATAAACCCAAAGTAGGGACATGGGCAATATAATATGTACATATATTATACATCTGATGATGCAGGGTGGGCATGTAATCTCCTGACTCTATGTGCCATGTGATAGAATTCCAATCAAACTTCAACTTACAGGTAAGTCTTGTTTAATTTTCCAATTCTATCACATGGCACCGAGTCAGGAGATCCCATGAGACTTTAAAGCCCTGATGTACCCAGCAATGACATATACCAAATTTAGGCATGAGACATGGTGAACAAAACCATATTATTATCAACTCAACATGTTGTAAGTACTGCCTCAGTCATAGTTATATCAGAGGCTACAGGCTTATTATAGTACTTTTGAAATGTACTTTTTGAGCTCCAACTTGCTGATTTAACAATATGTCCAATGGTACACTTTGGTAAGCTTTCGATGTGGCAGCCGCTCGAGTACTGTGTGCCGAGTATACTGTGGTGTCAATCCCAGCATTATCAAGGACAATTTTAACCCATCTTGATATTGTGTCTCTTGACACAGGTTGATATGGTTTTTGATAGCTTACAAAAAGTTGCTTATTATCCCCACGTACACTTTTGGTTCTTTTTAGGTACTCTCTTAAAACTAAGATAGGACAAATATTTTTGTCAGGTGTGTACTGCTCAATCTTGAGGATCGTAGTCCCTGATCCTGGCTTACTAGTCTTCATATGCTCCAGAACTTGAAACTCGCATGAGGTCTCGCTTAAGGTCATCTCACTGAGACTAAGACAGTGTATTGTTTGACCTCGCTGCCCTGTTACCAGTAACAATAACATAACTAACTTCAACGTCAAATTTTTTAGTGTCTGTTCTTCATTGGGTGTAAAAGTTCCCAGATACTTTAAAACCACAGAGACATCCCATATGGAATTGTACTTAGATTTTGGTTTCCGCAGTTCAAATATACCCTTCATAAACCTGACAACTATATGATGGGATCCAAAACCCTGACCATCTGGCAAACAAATTATGGTTGACAATGCTGAACGTGCAGTGTTTATAGTAGAGTAACTCAGTCCCTGTTGAAACAACATCCTCAAAAACGACAGAGCTTGGTTCATTGTTGGTGAATGACAAGGAATCGTCCTTTGACAACAAAAGTCCAACCACTTTTGGATGTAGGTGGAATATTGTTTCTTGGTACCTGTTCTCCAAGATGACATGATGATATCTGTAACTTCTTCTGAAAGGTCATCTGCCGCGAAGCGATTCCGGAGACAGGACAAACCATCAGGCGAAGGGTTTTGGCTAGTGGATGTGATATCAACTGAACTGGATGCTGCAGGAGGTTTGTTGATGGTGCGAGGATCCATGGTTGATCGAACAGTAGCTGTAATAGTTGTGGAAAGGGAGCGATTAGTACTCCTGAGGCTTGGTCTTGTAGTATCTTTTGCAAGCAACGAGGAACTAAACTAAATGGTGGAAAGGCATAAAACATCTTAGTATCCCAGTTTAATGTAAAAGCATCAACTGCAATACACCCAGGATCTGGTCGCCATGCAACATATTGTGCAAGTTGGAAATTTACTCGGCTTGCAAACAAGTCAACTTCCAGGCTGGGAAATTTTGTTAAGATGTTTTGAAATGTTTGCTTATTTAACTTCCACTCATTCTTATCATGAAATACTTGAGACATTCTATCTGCCTCACCATTAACCTTGCCAGCTATATGAGTTGCAGAGATCCAAATGTTCCTTTCAATGCACCACTGCCAGATTTCAACTGCTAACTGGTTGAGAGGTCTAGATTGTGTCCCCCCCATTTTGTTAAGATAAGCAACTGCAGTTGTATTATCAAGCTGCAAATGAATGTGCCCATCTCTGTCATTGACACAGAGTGATTTCAAGGCAAAAAAGGCTGCCTTGAGTTCTAGCACATTGATGTGTGCCTGTTGTTCAATGGTACTCCATCTACCCCCTGTAGAGGTACCCTCTCGGACTGCCCCCCATCCTTGTGTAGAAGCATCAGATTGAATGATAGCAAATGGTTTACCATGAATAATCTTATGAGTGGAATTTGGTAGATTTGTAATCCACCATTTCAATTCATGCTCGCACCTATCAGTTAATGTCATTTTAGCGCCATAGACCCCACAAGCTAATGTTAATGCTGCAGATTTAGCCATTTCAAGTTCTCGATAATGCAAAGGCCCATACTCCACTCCAGGGAAATTGGAGACTAATAGACCAATTACTTCTCCAACCTGTTGTATTGTAGTTGCAGCTTTAGCTAACAATAGTTTGCAAGCGGCCACTGTCTTGTCTATTTTCTCCTGTGTTGGGGAGACTGTCATGTTGATTGAGTTAAGTATAAACCCAAGAAACACAAGAATTTGTGTTGGGACAGTGACTGACTTCTTGGGTGAGGTATAAATCCCAACTCTGTCACAAGTGTTTTTGTGGCTGATATATTTCGAGAACATTCTGCAGGGGTGTCCCCTTGGAGGTAGGAGTCGTCAATGTACCCTGAACTCATATGGCCCATACTATAGTAGAATATACTGGTTTTAACCAGTAGAATATACTGGTTTTAGTAATTTTGTAAATATACGTGGAGCACTCGAGAGTCCATTTGGAAGGCAGGTATACTGATAGAGGCGACCCAAAAATTCAAATTTTAGGAACTTTTGGTCTGCCGCATGCACTGGCACCATATAATAGGCATCAGTGAGATCAATAGAGGCCATATAACAATTTGGCTTCATCATTTTTACTGCTGCATCTAAAGTGTCCATTTTAAAATGGCGATGCTTCACAAATTCATTGAAAGACTTGAGGTTAAGTATCATACGATATGAGCCGTCTTTTTTAAGTCTGAGAAAGATTGTTGAAATAAATTCACCTAGCTCATGTATGGAGGGAATAATAACCCCCTTGCTAAGAAGCTTATTAATCTCATTTCCAATAATTGCAGTTTCACACATGGCGAACTTTGGCTGCATATTGGCTGGGATGTTGATCATTAAATTCAATGTTAAATTCTGGGTCTGAGGTCAGTTGCCTCCATCGATCAACAAAATGTTTTAAACGTCCAGCAATTATTGACGTGTCAGGCGAATCAACAGTATGCAATGAATATGAACTGACAGTTTCTCTTATCTTACTATGTACAGGTTGTGTTATGTACAGGGCCAGGACTAGAGCTGGCTTCTCTTTGTCTTCTCTCAACCGGTGCATTGCCATCGGCCATTTTATATGCACACTATGAACATAACTACGTTGGTTTCTGGTTGAGTAATCTTGGGCCAAAACAAGGTTTGGCCGTTATCACAGCGATACCAACTACGTTGGACGCTTTTGATTAAGTATCTGCCACGTAGACACAAGGAAAGTA